GAATAATCCACCAATTTCCTACTTAAAAAAAAAAAAAGTTAGTTGGGAATTTTTTCTGTTATTCGCTAAAATTACTCCTTCGTTGACTAAAATAAATCATTAAATAGAAAATTTTATGAGAATTAAAACAATGTAATTTTTAAGATTAATATGCAGTCAGAAAGTTTTATAATTATTATTTATTGTAAATTTATCAGAAAAACTCATTATTTTTTGCATTTTTATCGTAATAGAACACTTAAATAGAAATCATAGTAATCATTTCTAAGTAATTTTTGATATTTAAAAAGATTCTACTATTGAAATATCCAGAACTGAATTAATTTTAATGATTTACTTTAACTAAAAAAAAAAAGTTAATATTTTGAATCCCTCTTGTGGGCAGGTAAAGAGTTAGATTTATAAAAAAAAACCAAATGATAGATAAAGACATGCATCTAAATAAAAAAAAAAATATACTGATTTGATCATTTTTGATAAAGTTATAACAGTTAACAAAGTTATAAGTTTTATACATTGTACTATTAAATACTATAATGTACTAATTAAATAATATAAAATATAAAATCGAGAATTTTTTCACGAAAATCGTACGTTTTTCTTTAACGTTGATGTCTATTTTCATCACGAAGACAAGTCCAGAGGTCAAATTTTTTTTTTTCAAATTAAAGTATATTACATTAGCTTTAATTTAAGATATATATAAAAGTGTCAGTCTTTCCGGAACATTTTCAAAAGTTATGTTGAAAAAGTTAATTTTTTTTGAAAAAGTTGTCATTTTGAATCCCTTTCTGTGGGCAGGGAAAGGGTCAAATTTATAAAAAAAATATATAAAATGATAGGTAAATATCTAAGGTATCTATAAAAAAAAAAAGTTATATTGATTCAGTTATTTTTAAAAAAGTTAGTGCAATTTTAAGTAAAAAAAAATGAAAAAATATCGAAAATTAGCGATTTTTAAATTTGTAATTTTTTGGGAGATTTCCCCCGTTTACGGGGAACGAGGGATTTTTTTTCAATTTTTGAGGGTAATGTCTTCAACTAGATACGATTTGTGATCTTTTGACATATTTTTCATCAAAATCGGTTCAGTGAGAGCTAAGATTGAGCGTATACAGACAAAAAAAAAAAAAAAAAACACATCATAGTAAAACCAATACCAATAATAAAACTTGAAGTTAACACGTTATTCAAGTTAAAAAAAAAAAAAAATAAGTTAAAAGTTAAATCGCTCAAAAAAGTAAAGAGTTATTTATTTTAATTTTAACAAGCCTAGGTTTTACAAAGATAAGATAAAGTTTTATTTCATCTGTGGTTTTAACTTTACGAACTCTATGAAAATGATTTATTTATTTTGTTAAGTTGAGTTTAAAGTTTATTATGTTGTATTAATAGTATCTGAAAAAATATAATTAATTCCATAAAGACTTACAAGAATATATTTATATTTGTATATTTTATAGTTTGTTAAAAGTGGCGGATTTTTAATTTTTTTTTTTTTTTTTAGCGGGAGTATCCTAAAGATTAAAATTTACTTGGAATATTTATCAGTGCCTTACCCTACATTCTATTTAATGTAAAAAATTGATGATTGAGAGGGATTTAGTGCAAAATATTTGAATGCCACCATAGTACAACAAACATCTTTTTTTTTTTGTTAGCCTATCCTAAAATCACTCATAAATAAAAAATTTAATCTGAGTCTTTTTAACTAGAAATAAAATGTAGTATTTGAGAGGATTGAAGACAAAGGGGTAATCTTTAGGCCCCATATATGAGTGAATATCGCTTCAAATATTATAAAAAAACATGTATTGTTGAACGTTTTGTTCAAATTGCACTTGTAGTTTTAAAAATATTTTATAATTTATAATAACAGTTTTTTTAAAATAAATTTTTATTACCTACAACTCAATTAAAAAAAGTTAAAATTGCTAATTGATTTTTAAAATATTAAAATAACTAAATATTTTATTTTCTTATTCGTAACTCAACAGTTAGTCTATGTGCCAAAAAAAAAAAGTATTTATGCCACTTTTTTATAACTCCAAGGTTATATTTATTTAATACATAGTAATTAAATGAATTACTAAGGTAGTTAAATTATTAAATTTATTTGCCTTTTAAAATTAGACTTATTGAATAATGTTTGTAGGAAGGAGTAATTTTGATTAGGTCTCGATATAAATACAAAACCCATTAAAAAACACAAAATATAGAAGAGAGACAGTTGCATAATTCAAATATTATATGTCTATATATCATAAATCTCTTCAAATATACAAATATATGTATTGCCTTAATATGTCTAACTATTTATTTATGATAATATACCAATTATAATATTACAATGATTATTGATAATTACTTAATAAGTTTTTATCATTTTATTATACTAAATAATCAATATTTAAATAGTAAACTGAACATTAATTACTGATCAACTGTAAAAATTTATTATTAAAAGAAATATCACAAATTTTCAACATAGTGACAATTAGAACGAGGAATTATATACATTTATAGATTTTGTTAGTTACAAAACGAGTTATTCCAAAAAAATCATCAGCCAGAACAAATTTTTATTAATTGACTTGAAAACTTAGTAATTTGTTATTATCAATATTAATCAAGGTTAATCCTCCTAGAATGAAAAATGTTTCTGCGTTACTAATATTCCTACAATCAAGTTGCACAAACTTGGAACCCTTCAAAATAACTAAAACAAAATTTTTAAAAGCATATAATTCCGCGCTCTAGTGATAATATTTTGGCAATACATGTTTTCAGGCTAATTCAAGTTCAACCTAATTTTGTAATTGGCAGCTGTTCCACTATGTTTATAAATAATAGTACCATGAACATTGAATCTTTAAAAACTTTTCTTCATTTAAATTGCGAATTCGTTTTTAAATGTTTAAACATGAATATCTTTTTAAATCGATTGGTTCAATTTTCAACGACATACCCAGTCACAAGAGGTATGGTTTCCTATGCAGTAATTTGGCCTACTGGTTGCATATTACAACAAATGGCTTTTGGAGATAATGAATTCGATTTTGTCAGGGCAGCTCGGTTTGGTTTATTTGGTGCGTTTTATGTAGCACCGACATTAAATGCCTGGTTAACTGTTGCACGATTTTTATATCCAAGAAATGATATACGTAGTGCTATAAAAAAGGTATGTTTTTTAAAAACTACTTTTTTTTTTATTGAGTAATTTAATAATTGCATATTACGCTGATAAAGGCACTCTTGGAACAAGTAATTTACTCACCATGTGCAATGGTTAGTTTTTATTTTGGTATGTCTTTACTTGAAGGAAAGACGGCTGAAGAAGCTAAACAGGAAGTAAAGAACAAGTTTTTTCCAACTTACCAGGTAATTTCCAATATTAATAAGATATGACCAGTAGTGATGAGCACTAATGAACAATTATAACTGCCGGGTACATTATCCGATAGTTTTTAAAAAACTATCGTATATTAATTCGATTATTATCCGCAAATATCTAGTTTTAGACTATCGAATTACCGGATGAATTTTTCGATAGTTTTATTCGGTCTGAGATTTTGAAGACCATAAAATCGATTTTGTTTTTGTTTTTGTCCTGTAAAAAAAAGATCTTTAACTTAATATTAGTCCCTAAAATGAGTAGAAACATGAACCTAGCGTCATGGACCACATCAACAGTAAATACAACTATAATATAGTTGCATCTTTGTCGATGGGGTTAATAAGTACAAGTATGAGACATTATCTCTTATTTAGTGTTTGTAATTATTATTTTAAAGTTTAATTATTAGTATCATAACTCCACTTTCCATTGTCAGCAATTTAAATTTCTAAAATGAAGTAATGAGCAAAAAATTATCCTAAGTATGAATTAGTTTGAGTCTATATCCCTCTCCCTACGTTTAGAAATCCTAGTTATACTAATAATGTCCAGGGTGATTAGATTACGTTACTGATTTTTTCTTGGAAATGATTGAAAATCATTAAAAACGTGTATCAAATAAAAAGTTATCATAGCTAAATACATTCAATTATGTATTCAACTAATAATTTAAAAAATTGTTTATGAGGGTTTGAGAGACTCAACTTAGAAAAATAAAATAGCAACACATGTTTTTTTTAAATGCAACATTTCAGTTATTTTTTTTTTTTATAATTATTACCGGTAAAAAAAATATACACTATACTATGGTTTTTAGTTACACCCTTTTCAATTTTGATGAAAATAAAGTTTTTTCATTTTCACTCAATATATTACAAGTTTAATAAGAACATGATTAGACAATATCGATTATTTATGATATCTTATAACTGTCCAATCAAGAATAGAGAAAAGTAGTACTAATTCATAGGACATTTTATTAAAGTTTTGGAGGAGTTAGAATATTTATTAGCTAAATGACCCGCATGGGTTTCACCTCTACACTCTCTATCATACCTTAATATTTAATTAATAATATAAATAAATATTAATGCATAATAAACATTTTTTCGTAAAATTATGCAAGTTTATTATGGATATTGTTGAATGACCAGTGTGGACAATTTTCTTGATACCTACCATAAAAATAATTTATGGTCAATGTTGAAACAGATTACTGTAAACCTAATTAATTTAAATTTTAAATCCAAATCTTCAGACAATTTTAAAACTCAGACGATTGATCAGAGATAAAAAAAATTATAAGAACAAAATTNTCTTCAGACAATTTTAAAACTCAGACGATTGATCAGAGATAAAAAAAATTATAAGAACAAAATTTGTTGAGCATTATTTTCGCTATCATATTTATATTACCTATGTTTTGTCGTTGAAATTTTCTATCATATTATCAAACTAAATATAGATGTTCTCATTTAAGAAAATTAAGTTTTAAGTTCTTTATCGTTGAAGAAATGGAAAAAAAAATGATATAACTACATATTATCGTAGAGTTTTAAAATCAAACAATACTTTCCTTTACGAACATTTTCAGTAGTTTTCAAGAAAATAAATTTTTTAACTTTAATGAATCACCTTGTATATATAAGTTATATATATATATTTGTAATTCTCATAGGTAGGTGTTGTTGTGTGGCCAGTACTACAAGTTGTTAACTATACTATGGTTCCTGAAAAAAATAGAATACCGTTTGTCAGTATATGTAGCTTAGGATGGAGTTCATTTTTAGCTTATATGAATCATTGTAAACGAAAAAATGAAAATATTAAGTCTAATAAATAATAATAATTTAAGGCATTCCGCAATCTGTATTGATGTAAAACATATTAAATATTATTTGAAATATATTTTACGTTTCTGAAATAGAAACACGAGTTTCATTTCAAAACAAAAGTTATTGTACAGAAAATTGGGGTTAATTTAATAATTTTTACTTGTTTTTTTATATAATTTATTTATAATTAATGTTTAAGTAAATAAATATTTATCCAATTAGCTCAAAAATATAATTTTCTTGAATAATAAAAAAAAAAATTTTGTTTTATATTTCAATAAGTAATTGTCTTATGTTAAATGTATCTATCACTGTTAGACTACATATGGGGTTACTTTGATACCCCATAATATTATTCATTATATTATATATATAACAGTCAAATTTTATTGTTGACAAAAAATTTTTTTTTACAATTATTTCAATATAACTAAAATGGGGTTAGTTTTGATACCACTTTTTAGCTTCGATGCGAAGCTGAGAAGGTATTGGTTTTACTAAGATGTGTTTTTTTTTTTTTTTTTTTTTTTTTTTGTCT